AAGCGCGCGGCCGTGAACGGCTAATTCACTACTATTTACAATGCATTCATGCCTCTCGATCTCGGCTACGCAAGCTCGCAGAATCTAAGGGCCCGTGGCGGGTGCTTCTAACGATTGCGCTCCCGTTAGGGTGCCGCGTGCATTTTCGCACATGATGGTTACTTTTCATGGCAAGGGAAACCTGGTATTTCAAAATCGATTTTTCGTAACAAATGCAAGGGATCGGAATTCTTTTATTTAGAAATGCAATTTTCGTGGGAAGCACAACACTTTAGATATAGTGGTAATCGTTGAAGAGCTCAAATTTCGTGATAAATGCAGAAATCGTGACTTTTAGATATGTTACACTGCCACAACACTCTAGACCCTCGACGCACAGATTTTGTAATAAGCGCAACAAATTTATAAACCTCGACATGCAAATTTCGTGGCAGATAAAGAATTTGGTGAACCTCGAAATGCAAATTTCGCAGCAAAAACCACATTCTATAACCCTCGATGCGTAAATTTCGTGGCAAATGCAGCATTTAATAAATCTCGAATTGCAGATTTCGTAATTGCACTTAATAAGAATCTCGAGGTGCAGATTTCGTAGCGATTCAATACATTATGCTCTCAGATGCTCACTCTTTCACTCTCCCATGCTCATTCTCCCACTTTCACTCACACTCATACTCCCTCACACTCCCACTCTCACTTACACTCGCACTCACACTCACTCACTCTCACTCACACTCATTCTCATCCACACTCACTCCCACTCAAAGTCATTCTCACTCACACTCGCACTCACACTCCCTTTCACTCACCCACCCGCTCACTCAATTTCGCACTCTCACTCACACTCACTCTCACCCACACTCACTAACACCCACCTTCACTCTCACTCACGCTCACTTACACTCACACTCACTCTCACTCTTACCCACACTCACTCTCACCCACACTCACTCTCACTCACGCTCCCTCTCACTCACACTCACTCACACCCACCTTCACTTCATCACCACCATCACCTCTCTGGACCCCAATGCATCTAGATCTCTAGACTTTCTGCTTACAGACCTCACACACACTGTTTGGGGTCTCTTGCCGGGATATGTGTTTTTAGTAATTCATTGATGCGAAATCAAATAACAACAGAAATATCAATATCGTTTAGAATAATATTTTTTTTTTGCATTCGCAGTGATATGAAACATTCCAGCACCAACGTGCGAGGGCAAACTTGAACAACATCAGGTTGGATCAGGGCAATTGCCTGAATATATCACCGCATGAATAGCTTGTCAAATATGAACGGTCGGATGCTCCAAAAACCAAGGATGAGCGGTCTTCAGCCCTCGAGAGGAGGTCTGCTGCACTTTTGTCAACAGAAATAGAGAGTTCTTCCAATCCCATTGGCCGTGGATGTTTCGGGGTCGTGGATGTCTCGCGGTGTGGATGTTTCGACCGGTTGGGAGATCTCTCTGCGTGAAACGCCCAACCTTCACAGTGAGACGTGGATCCAAGGAACCCAAAGACACCAGACCTGACGGATCTGATCTGAAGCTTCACAAAGCTAATTGACCTGACGGATCCAACCGAAACCTTGTTAAACTAGTGGCAAAACAAGTGGATTATGAACCTTTCTCCTATGGCTATAGGTCAGTTCTGCTTCCCTTTCCACGATTTGCGGGGAAGTGCTGTACTTTTGTCCTCCTTTGGTTCCAGGGAAGTGTTGCTCTCTGTGAACTGTTTGAGCGTGGTGATGCCCAACCTTAATCCTTCTCGCTCCCCACAAGCACTGTTCACCCACAACCCCACACAACCCCCATCATCCCCATCTCAAATCCTCAAACAATAAGGCCTTAAAATCACTTGGGGATTCAAGATCGAGAACGAAATCCAACTTGCGATTTATATAACTTTATTATCTGGCCTCCTCCTCCCATGCGACCATTTGTGCACAGATCCACGAAAATCTTTGGAGAGCTGCGTATTCTTTGGAGGACTCACCTATTGACCAATGAATCGAGCCAAAGATCCACAAAGCAAATCATTTGTGCGAGCGCGTCGGCGCTCTCTCTTCGCTCGAAGCGTGAGCGATCGCTCTGCGTCCAGCTACTAGAAGCGATCTAGGCTTCCTGAGCTTACTCCCTTACTGAATTAAGTAGGCACATACTTATAACAAAGGAAAGAAAACAAAGGATTCCATTAGAAGGATCGGTCATCTGCAAGAGTTTGCTTGGCCTTGGAATTGTTTCCTCAAAGCATCCAAGAACCGCCCTGGCGCCAAACCGATTCACAAAACCGCCCTGGTCCCACTCTCACCATGTTCTGAAGGCTCTCAGGTCATCCGAGCGGTGAAAACGTCTCCGACCGGTGGGACGAACGTCTCGCCTAACTGGCGCTGTCACCGGCCCGATCCTTCACCTGGTCCGCTGGTCAACTGGGTGGGGGCTTCTAGCTACTAGTAGCTTCTTGTTACTAGCAGCAAAAGAAACCTAATAGGAATGGCCTCCAGTAGCTTCTAGCTACTAGTAGCATGGATGTTCCATTCAGCACTACCCTTGTGGAGAAGTTTGGATCCCGAAGGAGTCCCTATTTATACCGGTGAATCTTCAGGTCGGAGGAGAGCCCCTTCAAAGTTCCGTGTCTCAAGTGAATCCCCGGTCTGAACAAGCGTTTAAGCTTTGGTGGCGACCTTGTTTGCGTGAACATGCCACCAATTTCAATATTGGGCCGCTGAGAGACATTCAATTGGTTGGTTTGTATTACAGTACTTCTCTTTCCCTAATCTGCGATATGATCATCTGCTGATGCTTGGAACTTACTTCCACATTAAGGGGCGAGTAAAGGTACGTAAATACAGAGAAAAAGTAGGTGTAATCATATTACACAGGCAACAGGAAGCTTGCTGTTGTATGATTGCAACGCTGTGCAGAGCAGGATTGTCTTTCGGACAGGCGAAACATGGCGAAACCAAAAAGGGAAACGGTGCACTTGTATTTGTGACTATTTGTGTGCTCTATTCCATGTCAATGATAGCCTTGTATATAATGTGTATATATATATATACTGAGATCAAATGAATTAGGCCAAGTGCGTTGAAATGGCATGCAACTTTCCTAAGGAAAGGTCTAAGTTATGCAGAAGTGTAAAACCTACAATTTCAGTGGCAAGCACTTATGACATAGGCCATTCCGACCTGGTCATCATTGGTTTCTCTCTTTTTTGTGGGGTCCTCTTCCTGGAAGATTAGAGCTAATGAAACAGAACATGTCATAGCAACGTCACTATGTGTTTTTTAAACCTCGACATACAACTTTCTGGACGTAGGGCACATCCTCATGACTTAGCCGCATGAATTTCGAGGTATATTTCGCAAGTTCTTTGTAAGTTCACCTGAGTATTAAGTTGTCCTAATTGTTCTCGAGCTGTGTGTAACGAACCCCTGATTGATTTATATAGTTGTATTTGTAAAAACAATGTTGCTGGTCTGCTTGCAAGGTAAATTCACAAAAGCAATAATTCGTGTGAACAACAACAATACATAATTCCTCTTGAAAGCCCTTAGAAACTACCCCTTTGGTGCACTTTTACAATGGGGATATAATGGGACATCCACCTACAAGTTCATTACCAACACCCTCCAACAGGTCTGCTCAAGCACAGACTAACAACCTTTCAGAAAACGTGCGCAATGACGTGAATAGCGATATTTTTCTCACATGAGAAACATGTCCTTATTCATTCCAGGTGCTAGTTTAGCTGTTCCCTTTCAGTTCTCATTATTCAATGTCCCTATGCTTTGTGCTCGTGACTCTCCGCCTGTCCCAAGGAGCAGTGACCAATTTGGCCGCAGCCGCCGCCGCACGCTTCTCCAGGACCTGAACCGAAGACTTGCCACCGCTTCGACCGCCGCACGCGGCCGTCGATGGGAGTCTTGATACCCTCCAAACCACCAACATAGTGTCAAACACATCACCTTCTTCTGAGGTTCGGTACGACTGGATCCCATCCGGGATATATCATCAAGTAGCGTTCAACTTGCTACAACACAGAGTCTAGAACTGCGGCAGTTTAAGGGCTTTTGATACAAACCCAACATTGCAAAGCGCTTGGTGGTGCATGCCAGAATGCCATCTATAAAGCCCCCAGTCTAATTACTCCAGCTTTTTCATACGATGTGGACTTTTTGATTTAAACACATAATTGATTGGATTGGACAATTGAATTGAAACATATCACCAAGGACTCACCAGGACCAGCCTCGTATGGCAGTTCCTCAGCACCTTTGGTTCACGAACCTTCACCAAGATTCCCATAGATTCCGGCCATCACACACGCGTTGCACACGACTCCCCGTTTTGTCCGTCATTGGTGTGTGCATGTGTTTAGGGCACCTCCGACATGATAGCGTTGGCCTTCTTCTTTTCCTGCTCCACAGCCTCGGGATCTCGGGAGAACTGGCAACCCCTCGAAAAGAGTTGCTGTAGTCCGACAAACCTTTACTCAGTGCACACCCCCAACATCATGTTGGATCCGAACTATGGGCTATCACTCTTAACTCTCCCCAGTTCTTTGCTACGAGGAAGGTATCTAAGACACTTCACGACACACCATATGTGTCTATGACTGTTTCCAGGATCTGGTCAGACCTCTTTCTCTCAGTGCCCCTACACGGCGAATCTTCTCCTCTGCGATGGCTGCCTGCGGGCGAATCGTCTTCCGGTTTTGAGGTCCGACGAACATACAACAGCAAAACATAGCAAAACAACATGCAAGCAAGTAAGGTATTTCGGTATTTATGTGTACAGGCAAATCACTGTAAGGGTGATATTCTATGATATTCTTGTCTCCTACTTGTAGTCTAGTGTCATCCTTAAAAAAATAAGAAGTCGTGGAGCATGAAACCATTAGCAATTAGACCCTTTGCTGAGCTATTTCATCCGCATCCATCCGGTGATTTCGTCTCTCTGTCTCAGCGACCATCTCTGCGCCGCTATGTCGTCTCATCACGCCTGCCGCTGCTCGATGGCATGCTGCTGGAGTTGTCGATGGCGCTGCACCTGACCGGTGTCAGGGTCTGACAAGACATGTTGATCAGCTTGGGGATGACCATCCACGTGATGACGAAGCAAGAGATACCAAAATGTCCGTAGATGTCCATTGACTGTTATTCTTTTGCGTTGACTGTTCTAGATCGACCCAGTGATATCCATCTTGGTCCGTCTTACCTCATCTCCTCCGCTGGAAAAAGTGCAGTACATTATATTACATTGAACACCGCGTGGGCGGACCCGACTTTTGTGGCCGCGAACGAACATCTGACTCGCAAGAGTCGGGGCTCGACCTGATGGAAGTCCATCTGCCGGAAGAGCTCTTCTTGGTGTCGCATGGCCACCAACTTCTCGCCCTCTTCACCTCGGTCGATGGATGGATGGATGGATGGATGGATGGATGGATGGATGGATGGACCCTGGTCTGGTTGGTACCCCAGCCCTGAGAGGTTGGAAAAAAGGGACGGGATAGGGCTTCCTAGAATACCTGGGTGAAAGCCAAGAGTGGAAGACAGAGTGGTTTAGACCGGGCTTTTGACCAAAGCCCTTTCCTCTTGCACACAACGGCGCTGATGAGAACTGCACATAGCTTCACGCGTGACTCGAAACCATCCATGGCAGTTCCAAATCTCTTCTGGCAGTAGAGATCTGGGGGTTCTACTACCAAGAATAACCATTGGAAGACATAATGGCTTCCAAACCCTCTCTTTTGCCACATAAATGCATGGTGGATCTTGGGATTAAACATGATTAAACAAACCATCTATTGGGTGTTCCTGTTCATGCCAAGGGAAGCTCCTTTGTGAGCTTCATAGGGAAACTGAGCTTCCAACGTTGTTGCTCGATGGCCTCCAGGCGCTTCATCTCCTGCTCGATCTGCCCACGCCTTGGAAGAAACACGCGTCTTCTAGATTTGCTCAGGGGCTCGCCAGTGTCGTTCCCTGTTGGAAGAAGGTCATGAAAACTGAGTTGTTGGAATCGACTCAAACTTCCCTAGGCTGGACCTTTGGAAGATCCAATGCCGGATGATGCCTAAAGCAGTGTGCCTCACCATGTTTGGCCATCCAACATTGTCTGGCCTCCCTTGGATTTGCCGATGACAGCACGAAGGCGGGTAGCTTGTACAAGATATTGGCTCATTTCGTGGCTTAGTTCATGTGTCTTCCACGAACAGCTCAGTTTAGTGAGGACCAAGAGCAGCACGAACTAGTCCTTCTTGGCAAACGTAATTGCTGCATCATCCCTGATCCCCAAATTCCTGTGGAAGGTCTCGCACTTCTCGAGTCTCGCACTCCTTGGCGATATCTGATTTCACCTGCTCACGCAGCTGATGCTTCAACCTGGCGACACGGAACCCTGATTGGACACCGTCCTGAGCCTTAGAGGTCTCTCTAGAGGTCCTGAGTCGGGGTTTGGGAGGCCAGGTCCTAAGGGTTTTGTCTTAGCTTCAACACACTTGGATTACAAACATCTCAGCCAAATAGCTGAGAGCAATCAATCAACGCTAATTGCTTCAAACCGATGCGTCCGATGTCCTGATGGTCCGCCCAAACGGTACACTCTCAGCGTCGCGTAGCGATGCCAGGAGCCCCTAGTAGCGTCCTTACTCCGTTCGTAGCGCACGTGCTTGAGGACAAGTTACTCAACTCGATTCACTGGAGAATGACTTGATTCGTCGATTCTCCAAAAGGATTTGTCGATTCATCCATGATCCAAATGTACCTTCGCCATCTTGAACGGATACCTAATTAGACCCTGTGGCCCAATGGCTTTATCTTTGCAAAGCTGTGGATTTGCCTAGAGCAATAAACGTACCTCTAATCAAACAATCCAAATGTGCACGTGCCAGCAGTGCTTCACTTGTTCTGCTCGATCATGATATACCTCCTCCATCAAAGCGCGGCCTCCGCGCCAATAAGTTGAAGAACTCTAGACTTGGGGAGACTGCATCTTCCAAGAACAGCTCACAGTGTACACTATTGATGGAAAGCGCTGTGGTGTCCCACATGACGGGCCAAAGTGAAACCCTGGAAGTGTAGCGAAGAGCAAATACATGTTGATAGAAGACATCCGTGCGGTGAGGATTCTACCCACACTAAACCCTGGTTCTCGGGACAATTCATGTTGAGAATCACAGTAGGGATGGGGATCAGCAAAGCAGCTTTTGACTGGACTTACCATTCCCAACTAGGGACAAATCGGTACGTATGCAACAAATCATGCAAATCCACACCATGTTGTCCAAGCTCCCCACGAGCAAGTTCTTCCTTCTCCCATTGTGCATAGCGCTTTTGCCACTGGCGTTCTGACCTCATCCCGAGCATGCGGCCTGGCCTCTCATGTGCGGTAACGCACGGAAAACCTTCCACTCCTCTTGCCCTTCTAAAGACTTTCAAGATATCATAGGATATCTCTTGACTTCGCACGATGCTGAATGCTTCCGTCTTCTAGATCCACCTCACCTGATTCAAAAAGTACGTATTCTTGCAACAAGACAAATTTCAGAAGGATATCGTCTTATTTCGACCAAAGCTTTGCTCCAATCGAGTCACTGCCTTGCACCGGCCTATTACCCCAGCGAACCATCAAACGAACATTGCAACCACTGACAGTCTTCTACTTGCTTGGAACATAGGAACGTGGGGTCTGTGATTCACGTGTCAAGACTGATTCGTTGGGTTGTGATTCCCAATCCCTCATCTGGAGTGCCAGGCTCTTCATCCTGCAAACGAAGAAGCTCCTCTTCGCTGGCAGCCTCGAAAGCACATTGACCAAAACCAAAAGCGCGAACGACCACCCAACGTGAGGTCGATTCGTCTTCCCTTGCAAATTCCAGGAAGATAGGAGTATCGACTTGGTCCATCTTCGTCCCACCCATCCATCACTGGATTTACGGCAGGCCCATGCATAATGAATCTTCTAGGTACCTGAACAACAAAGCATCCCTCAGTTCGAAGATCCGCACTTGGCTCCAGTGAACCCTCCCGTGGCACACCTTTCTGGCCATCTCCAGCTTCAAGGCTTCAGTGAACCTGGGCTCAGATTTCCACTGATGCAGGAAGGTCTGCATCTTTTCAGGTGCCTATGGTGATGGTCATGAACAGGATCAATAGGGGAAGCCAGTCACTGTGACTTTGCAAGGTCAATCACTACAAGCAAATTCATGATCATAGTCAAACAGAAGCCAATAAATCATGTGATCACCGGCCGACTCGCTCGACCTGTTCTCCTCAGGCTCAACCTCTACAGCGGAGTCTTCCGTCTTCCAGCTCTCTGTATACATCGGATCGACCATTCCCTCGACCTGTGATCCAACATGAGTCCAACTGCTCATTCATTCCTGGTTGATCACAGATCCTCATTCATCTCATTCATCTCATTCATCTCATTGATCATCCACCATTCATCTCATTTCTCTCATCCCTCATTCATCTCATTCCTCATCCTGGTCCATCACAGATCTACGAGTCCCGACTCCATGGCTTTCTTCTTGGCCTTCAGCTTCTCAGCCTTCCGACAGCTGAGCAGGTCTTGCAGTTCTGAAAACCATGGACTAACTTGACGGTGTTCACATCAATCTGGCCAGTATAAATGATTAGCTGATTAACTCAGCTCACAGTTCTGAAGCAAACACGTGTAAAAACAACTGTTAACCTGCTTGACCAAAAGACTCGCTCTGTAACATTAAAAAAACACCTCCGATATACCCACAACCACATCGACCCAAGTCGACCATTCGCCTCCTCCTGCTCCGCGATCAAACGCTCTCGCTCGAGCACTCCATTCACAAAGTTCCTGGGCATCGTCAGGTCGGTCAGGCACGATGCCAAAGCATGCTCAATCCAGTGGGCCTGGATTAGATTGAATTCATGGGTGGTATGGAATTGACGACCCTTGGGGAGGCAGTGCAAGAACTATCTCATCCAGTCCCAAACACACTTTTTCTGGAGACCCTTACAGGTCTGCTGCGGTTCCTACGTCCTGTTCCACCAGGACTCGCGATGGGATGGGGCACCTGGAAGGTCGGGTATGGTCCAAGAAAATGCGCTGCAAGGGATGGCCACGAAGGACACGTTCTCGGCAGTTCAAGAAAAGAAACAGAACGAGGATCGACTGGTTGAAATCAAACTGGTTTTAGAGAAACTGGTTTGTAAAGGTTTGTAGGTTTACTTCCTTTTTCGGGTCACCAAATCAAAGCAGTTCAAACATCGTCGTCTTGGACTTACACCATTCACCACCTGGGACTGGTCCAACCGGAAGACAACCACTGACTCGATCCGTGAGTCTTCGAAGGCCATCCCCGAAAGAAAACCGGATTTCAGGGAGTGTAGGGACCCTTGGCCAAGATGATACTGCTCACGTCAAGACTGTGAAAATCCATCCCAAAAGATTCCTCACTGGACACCCCCATCGGGCAATCCGATCTCGCGTTCGCCGCGCGTTCGCCGGGCGTTCGCCGCGCGTTCGCCGCGCGTTCGCGGGGGGGTTCGCCAGGCGTTCGCCGGGGGCGTGTTCTTCGCCAAAGCACTTGTCGAAGTCCTTCTCTTGGCGCTCTTCCTCTGCGCGCTGGGCTTGTTGGATTGCCATGTACTCGTCCGCTTTCCGCCGCTCCTGGGTCCCGCGGAAACGCGAGAGGGGCGTTCCACAGAAAACGCTGGTGCAGCTGTTGAAGCCCCAAAATGAATTGTCATGAAAGTAAATGCAGGTTTCATCATGGTTCTTTACATGAACATCTGATTGGTTGGTGGTTCCCATCATTCTTTGACACACTAACTCATAAGGATTATCAATATTTAAAGCAACATACAAACAGGTTGTGTTACGGTGCAGTCCATCACGAAGGGAGAGCAGTATCAGTGCAAGTTGGATTAGCAAAACAGGAGGATGCAGTGGTACAATGTTTGACATGTATTTGAATGAATCCAAAGGGAGGCTTCCTCACACCGAAATTGACATAGCTGGACAACAACCATACTGTTCTATGGCTGTGGGTCAAAGCCAGGATACCTTTGTTGACCTACCCAGAAGGTCAAGCTACATGGTGTTGCAGCTCCAGGTTTTGACCAATCCCTCATATATTCTTGGTTTTCGTGCCATGCGAACGGGTTCTGCTGCAGGAACACAGCAAAGCCTATGCGTGTTGTGGGAACTCTCGCCGGCGAGTGCAGCGGCGCCTCTTTGGCATAGATTCGGGCTTCCACTACAGCCCTCTTCTCCTGAAGATCTACGATTTGGCTGGGGTCCAACGTGGGCAGAATGGACTCAAGATGAGTATGACCAGTTTGCCCAATTCTTGGGAGAAGAAAGCAACACATTCTCCCAGACTGCCGAAAGATCACATGATTGAACAATCTCGGAGGAGTCTGGAGACCACCAACGCTGTTACCCGCCTCTTCTTCCTGCTCAGCCCAAATCTTCTTTAGCCGCTCAGCCTTTGCAAGGGATGCGGCAACGACGTCCAAGCAACGCCCACCGTCTTTGCGGATCTGATGATCGAACCAGGTCTTTCAGGGTGGTCTCACAATGTGTCACACAAGGTCCTGCTGAAGTCAAACGCCCACCGTTGATGCCTCCAAAAATATCTGGATTTTGTGACTAGCTACCAAAGAAAGCCAACAACAGCTTTGCCACCCTTCCAGACTCTCCGGTAGCGCTGCGTGCGCTGTACTGTCTCTTGTGCCTCCACGGCCTCTTCTTCTCTGTCTTGATCCAACTTAGCCGAAGCCACACATCGATATGGATTGCATGAAGCATGTGGGACAGTGGCTCGATCCAACTGCGCCTCCCTCCAACTAAAAGGCCAGACTTTTTTTTTCGGAAGAGGAGAATCTTTGGAATAAAGGAAAGAATCTCCTAATATTAGCCCTATGTAGAGGGTATATATCCTGGGATAAAGGCATGAACTGATTCGAAACTGAAAAGTCACCTGGAACATTTGAGTCCCCTTAAACTCGTATCCAAAATTGAAGAAAGAAAACACAAAATCCACGGGTCTTCCCTTTTCCTGTACAAAGTGCTGTCTCCACAAATGATCTATATAAAGACTTGTCAAGGGCACCATTTAACCCAGAGCAAGTAGTTTTTGTATGTTTTTGTTGTATTATGAGGAATACATTGGACCTCTTGCAGGTCCCCCCCCAGAAAAAGGAACTCAACCCCTTAGGGGACGTGATAGATCTCACAGCGAAACCCAAAAGTAGGTCATGAGGACACTAATTAGTTCAAAATCATATCAATATCTCTGTGCGTTATATTATTCAATATTATACAGTATATATAAATTCAAATACGTTGTTCGTCAAAGGGACGGAGGGATTCTTACACATGTGACACATTTTTGTCTTTGGGTCGCCTTGCTGTATACATTTGCACTCTTCGTTCCACAATGCATTTCTTTCATTATATTTCTATGGAAAGACTGTGATTCAATCGTCTAATTCTGGTGTCAAGTCAAGTGGTCCGTGTTGCTGCGCTTTTCAGTGCTGTCTGCAACACACACGCACAAGCAGCAAGCTCAGAGAGGTACTCTTTCCTGCTTCCAGTCCAGCTGAATGCCCAAAGTCTTCTTCTGCCTCAAAGGAATCTGAGTGCATCAGAATCGCATCAGTTCTTATACACGCTGATATGATCTACTGTAGATATCTCATGATATCTCATAAGTTTCTTTCCACAAAAAAACACATAGGACGGATGTGGTCGGAAAAATGGTTATTCCAGTTTAGATTTTGGGGTTCCCCCTGTCCGGCCCCCCCTCTTCTCTGCCAGCCACGGGGACACGGGACGACCAGGGGTCCCGGCTTGCCCCGCCCCCCCTACCCGGGGCTGCACGGAGTCGGCTTTGGATTGGTGAATGAGAAAAAACAACATAACGAAGGCCACCAAGGGTTTTGCCATCCCCAAATAGAATGCCAGTACTTCACACTTCACACAGAACTTCCGGAAAGAAGATCGTTAGCAAAAGACCTCCTCATCCATAAGAAGCATCGAAACTCCTATCCCTGGGCGGTGTGCAACATCAGCCCAGCAATCTACGTCACGTGCGCCGTGCCGGCTGCGCCTGCGCCGTCCACCCGGTGGGTCGATTTTGGACGCAGAAACTCCCCGCCATTCGTTCCTAGTAGCTTCTTGCTCCTAGTAGTACGGCCAGGAGCCCCTAGTAGCGTCCTTGCTCCTAGTAGTGATGCCAGAAGCCCCTAGGAGCTTCTTGTTACTACCCTTCGCTGGACTCACCAAAATTCCTCCGGCGCTTTTGGACTCCGCACTGATCGTTGCGCTCATTCTTCATGGCCTTTTCCCGCTCTTCTCGCTCGATCTTGGCCAAGTAGCCTTCATGCCTCAAGTGCTCATGGTTTGGATCTGAAGTTCATTCTACAGCTCTCACAACTCTTGACACATGTGCGTTTCCTTTTGTTTATATAATGTTCAAATGCTTTCAAAGGTGGTTGAGAAATACCTGGTATTCCCCATCCAACAATCGGCGGCATTTCGCAACCTGATGGACCCCCTATGGGTTCTTCAAATGCTCCGAAACCGGTCTCCGGACAAGGGTTGTTCAACGGCAATGGTCGGTCGCATGAAAGCATACTGAAGAGAATGTTAGAACAGGATTGTTCTTATTTAGTTCAAACGGACATGTCTGGCCAGGAATGCACCATCGACATAAGTCTTTCAGCTTTGCAACCAAAGCTTGGCATAGAAGTCATCGACTCCCTTCTCCTGGCAAGTCTGACTCAGCACCCTGGGTGCTGCTGTGTGAGGGCGTTAACATACGTTGACTCGTCCGCTGTGCCGAGGCTCTGGCCCCGAGTTTTCACCCCTTGGATTCTCTTGGCCATCCATAAACTAGCTTATCAAGGCCTAACATGTCATGCCATAGCATCGTTCGAGCGCTGCATTTTTCTCAGAACTCCCACTCCACGCGACGCCCAGAAGCGCGCCTCTGCTTTGCGAAGCGCTTTGTCGTCCAGCTGGAAATCCCTGACCAAAGATCCACTCAGTCAGCTGGCAATCCAGTGATTCCTTGTTTAAAAAAGCAACCACATTAAATAGTCAAACACCAAAATGACCTCCAAGCGCGTGGATCGTTTTGCGGGTTTGTCAAACTCCTAACCATATGAACCATGCCAATCTGGGGACATGGGACAGCCGTGTCTGCAGAAATCCTCTCAGCGCAGGGAACCTGGGCCCATGAGGCCCCTACGGCCACGCGGAGCACCAGGTCAATGGTGCGTCCCGTGTGAACAAACGCGCACCCATCCTAAATAGCTGTAGGATGAAGTATATATTAGATATATGGTGTATCGATTATTACCACTATTAGCCTCACCATGTCTTCGCCATCAAGCCTCACCGTGTGGATTTCCGGAAAAACATGGGAGTGTGAGTCCGTCCGTCTCTTTTTTCATCCGACCTGTCAGCGATGGTCTGCAACTCCACGATCCTCGAGTCCATGGTGCGTAGGTCGTCAATGCCTGGCACGGTTCGTCCATGGCCGGCGATTTCGATTTCGCCTCGCTCGGCCTGTTTCGGAGACTCCCCGTTCTCTATTATGCAAACACACCTGCTTGAAGAGAGATTCACACTGGCTATATCAGGTATCGATAGCCAAGCAAAATAGCATGTAGCATGCTGTAGCTACCACAGTGTGATGTACGTACGTCATGTTGCTCATTGTGCCTGCTCTCCACTGCTGATAGAGCTTTTCTTGGACAACGGCTTTCCGCTCATCCTGATCAGCGGCAAGAAGTGGTGGCGCAACAAACTGGGCCATCAGGAAGCCCTCACTTCTTGACATTAGCCTACAGGTCCTTGAACGGCCTTTACTCGATGCAGCCTTCTTCACATTGGTCTCCCCAATTGCACTCGGGTGCGACACGAGTACGGCGGATCTGCATCCGATTCACGAAGACTCGACATATTCACTCGAGAACAGAAACACCCTGCGGCTTTCACTATGTTGAGTGCTTGCGGCTACACTCAATAGCTGGACCTCCTACGCAGTTCTTGCTTTGGGCGAGCATTTCTGCATGCCTCACGGCGCTTCTTCAGCTCATAGGCACGGGCCTCAGAAAGGACGAGGATAAGTTCAGCATCTCCACATCTGCTGAAGACTCCAAAACCATGAAAAACCCTTCGCGGCCCTGCAACCGTTAGTTTTCAAGCTCCTGTGGGACCGTGCATGTGGTATGTTTGGGGGAATGACTGCAGGCTGAACCACTGGGGTTCACCACAAGCCACAAGCCATCTCCACAGTTCATTGGTCTCAAAGATATTCTACAATCCACCGTTCCCAATTCAAAACATGTGGAAGTAAATCTGCTCAGGGCTGTTGGTTATAAATCACAATGACCAACGACCATGACTGTAGAAGACGATAACAACTGAGCCCACAGCAGACATCCGCTCCATTCGCTGAGCTGGAGTTTCCTCCCTTTCTACCATCTCTTTCTGCCAAGCCTGCATTCGTGTCGCGGACATGGCATTGAGCACAAGGCTCGAGAAGTGCAGATCCAAGGTCCCCTACATCCGAACACTAGTGTCCCCTGAGAGACCATCCACCACGATGTTGCTGGGGTTCCCTGCTTTCA